ATTTGTTAAATCGAGTACTACAAGCATTGTTACACCTGTGTTGAATGACGATTCATAATTCCCACGATTCATATTAATTACAATCTGATGCGTTATTATTTACATTAGTTTGTTGACTTGAGTCGATTTTATATCGCATCTGATAATGAATTAATGATTGACATCCTGAAAGGAGAGATAAATTTCCTAAAATCCGCTTGGGATCTGCTGGGTCGACCGTTAGTGACTCTAGTTTTGAGAAAAATTCATTTAGGTCGGTTAAATAATATTTGTATGTTTTCTTTAATTTGGTTTATGCTATTTTAAAGCCYTTTTATGTATCACTTACATATTTGTATATGCTCTACTTTGCTCAACATACATCTGTATTTTTAATATATTCTATTACCACTTTGTGTACAGGGACATATTAACATAGTTTTTATCCAGAAAACTTTCGTGTTCAATTTTATGTAAAAGCAAGAATCATTTTACAGATTGTGTAAATTACAACAAGACTTGGAGATGGGTTTTAACATCTAAATTAATTTTTCATTTTTATTAGTCTATGTTATTCTATATTACTATAACCTTAAAACGCTTGCTTTTACATACATTCATATTAAAATATATCAATTTTCACCGACACATTTACACGTAGTTTTCTTTAATAATTTGTAGTTTGCTATCAATTTTATCCCAGTCGAAAGTTTACATCTTGCCCAAAAAATTTTTAACCGCAGTAGTTTTTATGTACATGTTGGCAAAACATACTCTCGAAAAATGCATTTCCGAATCTCATTAATTCATAAATTTTGTGAAAAACGAAAAACTGCGTAAAGTTTAAATCTAAGTATATATATAGATATATTATACGTACTTATGTGTACCTTTCTCACTCAGTCAAAACTTATTCTTTTTGAAAACTTAACACATAATTTCAAATTAATTTGCTCGTATTTCACCCACTGCAATGCAATGAAATTCAATTGGAATGAACATCGTCGCAGAATATCGATTTTGAAGAGTACTACACAACTCGTGATCCTGATTTGCTTGCTAGCAATTTCACAACAAATTTAGCTTTCCTAACAAACAATTGGCGGCACATGTTAGGAAGACCCACTATAACTCTAATGGCCACGCATTACATGCTAGGTAATTACATTATATCTTTCTTACAAACATGAAGACAGCCATCTTATAGCTTTGTACTATACACGTTTAAATACTATAGTATGTACATAATTATATAATTAACTAAAAATAACTAGTATCTGCTAAATAAAGTAAAGGTTCAAAATTTTATATTTTTCTTATTTATTTTTTACCCTTGCCATTGTTTAAGAAAAAAAACATTTCCGTCTTTTAATTTAATTTTTTGTTCGCATGTTTTTCCTTCAATTCATCTCTCTTACATACATACATATATTTATTATATATAAATATAAACTACGTGTAAGAATGCCATATGTGAGCATCTTCTAGAGTTAAACAAAACTTTAGCTTGCATAGTTAACATCCGCACACAAAGTCTAACACATAAGTATATGTAGAGCTAGTCATTATAATTTGGTGGTAAATAAATTATTATTATAACTAGTGCCACAAATATTTTTAGAGATGTTTTGTTTGATAATTAGAAATATTTTTTTTGAAGAACGCATAATATAAAATTTATAAAATGACCATATTTTTCCTAGTTTCTGACGTGACTTTTCTTTGCTTATCTTTTTCATACTTGTAAAACTAAATTGTTTAACTCTGTATTTATGAAATACTGCCCATGTAAATACCTATGTACATATACACAGTACCAATACCCCATTTATGTAAAATAACCAAATCTGTTATTTGATTAATACTAACTTTAATTGCATTTTTAATTTAAATAACATATTTGTTAATATTTAAATGTATATAACTTATCAAAGTACTATCTTGAAATAGGTGTGGCGTTACAAAGTTTACAAAATTTCCGGATATAATAAATAAATAAATAGTTTATTACAGTAACTGTCAGTAAACATATTAATATGTATTTTCCAAATTTAATGATAGTAAGAATTTTACACAAACACCAACACTCTGTTTTCCGTAATCAGGTGAACAATATTTTACTCTGAATAGAGTAAATTTTGTCCTTACTACTTTATACTCTTCCGTAGATTTGATATCAAAACCAATTTTGTTATTGATTACAAGTTGTTAATAATAAGAAAATTATTGAAAAACAGTTAGACACGACTGCAGACAGAGTTGAAATAAGAATACAAATTATTCGATTGTGTTTTGGAAACAACCTAAAAAACTGATTCATCCTATTGAAAGTATGTATTTTAATCGCTATTTTCATGAACATTTGTCAATAATTACTTAATAGTAGAAGCTTGACTAATAAGATTATAGCTACTTTTCGTTAAATTTATTATCATTATCCGAAAAAGTTCTATATATAATAATACCTGTAATATTTCGCACAGATCAAGATAAAATACCATTGGCTATGATCCAAACAATGCGTAAGCTTAAGTCTGGATATATTAATGGCACTCGAGTTATGCTGGGCAACCTCAAGGACTTCTTAAATACGTCCGCCATCACCGATCTAAGCTTTTTGGGAAGCACAGAAGATGGTTACCCAGATCGTTTAAATCCCGACGTACAGGCATATTTGGATGAGCACTTGTTGCGCTCATTTAGCCATCGCGGCATGATGAAACTACATGGCGCTCATTTGCGGCCACGTCAATTACGCAGACGTATGTCTTGCAAGGGTGCTATTAAAAAAACCCGTTCAATTAATGTCGATTGTAAGTATGCAATATTAAACTGTCTTATTATGAATTGTTCATTCTCTATTACTTACTTTTATAGCTGATAATTTGGGTATGGAAGGTCCGACACCATTAACGGAAAGACGTTTATCATCGGTGATTCCGCCACCATGGTTGCAGCCAAATAAGGCTAACAATATCAGTGTTTTTGCAACAACACCAGAAGAAGGTCCCACCATAACAGTGGATCCATTGATTCGTGAAAATATCTACCCCATTGATCCTCATCATAGCCGTTCGGCCATTGAACGCCGCAGTGAGTTTACAAGACAACAAGAAAGTTAGTAGTGGTTTTAGTTTCATTTGTAGTACAAGGTGTCCGAGAATGCAATGGTTCAATTTAAGTATAATAGTCAATCAATTACGTTGGATCATTCATAGATGTGTCAGTCGATGAAAAAGTTATTGTAATATTTGTAATTAACAAAATTTGCAATATGTGTGCAGGTACTTTACTGATAAAGTGGTTGCATTTTCGAATACTAGTTTTGTCTTAAGTTTGCTTATTATTATGTATTAATATTATATGTTATAATTGTTTTATTTTTATTCGATTTTCATATTTTTATTTCTTATTATAATGGTTTTGGTTTTACGTTATAATTTGTAAATATGAATCCTGTACGATCATCAGTACAAGCTATACCGAAAATTCTTGTTCAACGCCATCGCACGGACACTAATTTCGCCGACACAGAAGTAGAGGAATTAATTGCAATGTTGCGTGAAACCGAGAATTTGGAAGAGCAAGGAGACATTTTGCAATATTTGGTCGACACACAGGGGTTGGACTTCAATACTGGTAAGTGCAGTAACGTTTAGTTGAATACATACATACATACATATGTTTTGAATGACTTGCAAAATTATTGAAAGTGTTCCCGCTCACATGCACACATATTTTACATATACATACACACATTCAAATATTCCTAAAATAAATTATTACAGAAGTGATGTGTTACTCGCAAATAAAAACTTCTTCATGAAGGAAAAATCAATTTATCCTTATTCCACCCTATCCCGTATTCATAAAAACTCGTGGTCCAACTCCCTCTACATTAAACTTTATCTCAATTATTGCCTATTTCAAATTGATGTTGTCTACCTTTTTCTGAAAACGTGCATTGATTTCTACTTCTTAATTTCTCTCTTTGTGAAAATTTTATTCATTAGCTGGCTTAGGTTTGAGGAATAAAGATTCCGGTAAGTTATATTTTTTAATTTCGGCACCTATGTAAATGCATTTGCATACATATACACACATATATAATTATCCAATTCACCGAAATAATTTAATTTAATTTTTCGTTCAAAAAAAAAAAAGATCATTAAAAGTGTATACTATTCGCTTGATAAAGACAAACAAGGCTAGTTTTCGAGAAGATCAGTAATTATAATATTGAACTTTTGTGATTGCAAAAGCTAAAAAAACACTTCCAAAACACAGCTCGGTATCTGAAACTAGCATAGGGTTTAAAATTAAAAAAAGGAATATATATCCATAACTCTTTTTTAGTTATTAACTCTTCGAAATTTTGTTAATAGTTACCATTTACATTCGCAAAACTCTTAAATCACAGCTGTTTACTTATTGAATGCTTGACAATTAAAATTCCAGAAGCAGTAACAATACAAATATTAAAAACTCAATACGAGCAAAACAGTTTTTTTAGGTTGATTTATCCAAAGTAATAGTAAAAATAATAATAAATTCTGAACTGTAATTAAAAATTTTGCGTATACTTTCGTCTAATCAATTCTTCTTATATTTCTCTCTTTTGTTTTAACATTTCTCTATGTTTATATGTATATATGTATTTTTGTTTATAAATGTGCGTTCATTCACTGCATGTAACAATCCCTGATTACCAATGATATTTCAAAACGATTTTTCAATTTGAATGGATTTGACGTAATTTAAAATATTTTTTTTTTTAATATACTGTCTCTTATACACATCTAGATGTGTATAAGAGACAGTCTGTGCACATACTTCTAATTAATTTCCAAAAATGAAATAATTTTACTACCCGCATTGTAATGGGGTTTGTTACTGTATTTTCACGAGCATTTATGTACGTAATGTTTCTCCATCAACGTTTGTATGTACGTACATCTATGTGTGCGTGTGTAATTATTTATAAAAGACGTTGAGCAGGAAGATGCGGATGAGGCCATTGCTATTGCTTCAGTCATAAAGGGCGAGCTATGTGACAATACAGAACTTCTACCTACGGTTATCATTGACACTACTCTTACTAATTCTTCACTTCTTCCCACTCAAGGGATGTTGGAGGAAGGTCGCGTCGTTACGGTGCGTGATCTCCTTAAAGGCCTCTACGAAAAAGCTTGCCAACAGAAACTTTGGGGCCTCGTGCGCCACACAGCCGGAATGCTTGGAAAACGTGTCGAGGATCTTGCCAAGGCCGTAACCGATCTGTTGGTGCGACAGAAGCAGGTAAATTTATGCATAAATAAACACATGTGTGAGTATATATGTATGTACTAGTTTAAGTATGATTGAAATTGGATTAAACATATCGACATTTTTTATTAAAATCTTAGGTGACTGTAGGAATGCCACCCAACAATGAATACACAATTACTGCGCCTTTACCGGAGATTGAGTTACGTCAATTGATCCATGATGTAAGTTGAACATCCTCAAATTATTTCTAGTTTTTTTTTTTTTTAATTTTTATCAATATTGTGCCCAGACTTATGGTGATGATGAAAGTACTGCGATGTTGACGCAGGAATTAATGGTGTATCTAGCTATGTTTATACGTACCGAACCCCAACTATTTCATGAAATGTTGCGCCTGCGCGTAGGGCTTATTATTCAGGTCATGGCTAAGGAGTTATCACGTACGCTTAATTGTGACGGCGAGGCAGCCTCGGAACATTTGCTCAACCTGTCGCCATTTGAAATGAAGAACTTGCTCTATCACATACTGAGCGGAAAAGAATTTGCTGTGAGCAGTGGTGAGTCATTCCATAATTAAATAATATGTAATGTTGACGTTCCAATTAACAAATGTTGTTTTTTCATTAATCCAGTTGCACGTGGAAATCTGTCAATCGTAAGCTGTAAATCAAGTCGTGTCAGCAAAAAAAGTCAAATAGGTTTGGGCGATCAAGAGGGAGATGATGCACTTATAGCAACAATCGATGATCGTCAAGGTCAATGGTTAAGACGCCGCCGCTTGGATGGTGCTCTGAATCGGGTACCACGTGATTTCTATTCTCGCGTCTGGAGTGTACTTGAAAAATGTCAAGGTTTGGCAATCGAAGGACGCATATTACCGCAGAGTTTAACACAAGAAATGACAACCGGCGAATTGAAATTTGCTTTAGAAGTAGAAACGGCACTTAATCAAATTCCACAACCTGAATATAGACAATTGGTGGTGGAAGCCCTTATGGTGCTCACACTTATGACAGAACATAATATGGTACCCTCCCTAGGCGGTATTATATATGTTGAACATTTGGTACACAAAGCCAATCAACTGTTTCTAGAAGATCAACGTAAAGTGCAAGGTGATGCTATGCTATGTTGTGCCAAATCCAAAGAGGGCAAGGACCAGCAGGCAGCTTCCGGTATGCTCTTATGTGGAGGTGCAGCATATATCTGCCAACATCTATATGATAGGTAAGCTTGTTTTATAAAAACAACAAATAATCAAATTGCAATACTAATTAAATATATTTTTATAATAACACGCTCTCAGTGCACCCAGTGGTAGCTATGGCACTATGACATATATGGCTCGTGCAGTTGCTCTTGTTCTGGACTGTGTGCCAAAGCATGGAGAAATGGAATGTGTTATATCCTAAATAGTTGCGCTAAAGGCTATACTATTAATTTGGTCTATTACATATATATATATACATATATATTCGACAAAAAATTTGYTTATAATGCCGAACCATCGTAAGATAATTTTTAAAGAGTTATTTCTTTCGACGTATTTCCAGCAGGGGCGGAACACCCGTATGACACCATAATTGTATTGACATTTTTCTTGTTTTAGCGGATTTATTGAATAAAGTTTTTTGCAAAAATATTAAAACAAATGTATTTGTATTAATTTCCAATATCAACAGATTTATTTTAAAAATCAGTATTTTTAATATAGTGAGATACAAGTGCAAAAACGAGAGCTGTCAACTGTACAATGTTTCGAATTTCTTGAGAATGGATTAGAGCGGACAGCGTTAGAGACAGATATTAATAACTTTTTTTACGCTTTGTTTGTAGAATGAAGTAATTTGAACAGAAATGGAGTACATAGTTTTACTTTGCTAAAGCAAGTATTTTAATATAATAATAAAAAACTTAATCTAACAGTAACCGCGGTCAGGAACACGCCGTCTTGGGGCACATCTTATGATATCGTCCACGCGTAATATCATTTCAGCTGCCTCTGATGCGGACATTAATACCTGACGTTTAACAGCGAAAGACTCGGTAATTCCCAGTTCTTTCATATCACCTACTTTCCCCTTTTCCATATCCAAGCCAATGGCAGATTTACCTTGCGCGTGGGCAGCACGTAATTCTGATACCAGTTGTGCTGAATCATAACCGGCATTGTCGGCAATAGCTGTTGGCAATGCCAACAAAGCTCCTGCAAATGGTTCAATTTTAGTAATTGTAATTAAATGTTTGAAAAGAAAGAATTCAAAAAAGTACTTACTGGCAAATGCTTCCATTGCAATTGCTTCTTTTCCTGGGGTTTCTCCAGCCTTTTTGAAAACAGCATTAGCCATTAGAGCTTCTGAACAACCGCCACCATATACAATGCGCGATTCCTTTACAGTAGCAGCTAGAACACATAAGGCATCATGCAATGACCGATCAGCTTCATCGATGATTTGTTGCGTTGCACCTCGTATCACAACTGTACATGCTTCACCCAATTTCACTCCGCTAAAACGCAAAAGTGTGTCCTCGCCAATCATTACCTGCTCGATCACGTCGCATTCACCTAATTTGACCAGTGAAGGATTGTCAAAAGTGGAAACAATTTCACCACCAGTAACAAGAGCTAAACGTTCGATTCCATCGAAATCAGCATGCTCTATAGCCATAACGCCAGCATCCGCAAACAATTGCTCAGGGTAATTGTAAATAAGTTGACGATTAATGAACACGTTACAATTGTGGTTCAAGATTTTCTGCACCTTATCCTTCATCTTTTCCTTTTCGGCCAATTCTAAATCGGCAATTTTCGCCAAAGAGTCTACCTTGATAGTACTTCCGAATACTTTGATCTTATCAGTGTCCATAGGTGTATTCGCAATTAGAATTTTCGCCTTTTCAATCTGTTTATGTATGAATTTTTAATTATATATTAACTGGAACTTAAAAGGTTGATAATATTTAATTACATTGTATATAAACACGATGACATTGCTGCAGCACCAAACTCGTCAAAATGGCTGTGATATGGYTTACTATTGCAACATAATTCACAACCGTTTTAACGCGTTGATGAAGAACGTATTTCTTAAAATTTTTTTTTWAGTATAAACAAATAAAACATACTCGTTGTGGTTGATGTACTCCTGGTTTTTTGTCTAATAGAAAGCCATCATCTAAAAATGAGTCATCCAATGTGCCGCCGGTCTTCTTTATTATTTGAATTGCATGCAATTCTCCAGAGCCTTTAAGTCGCAGAACCGCGTCCACAGCTAGTTTTGAAAAAAACTCTTTATGTTGATGTAAAATTTTTGACGATAATGTTGTCCGCGCAATATTCAGTAGATCTTCTTTAAACTTGTCATCATTGGCTGAATTGTCTTGTGAAGCTTGTGTAAGAGCTTCACGTGCCACCTGGGTAGCCAAACGCCAACCGGCAATGATAATTTGTGGGTGCAATTTTTGTTCCACTAATTTTTCGGCTTCCCGTAAAAGCTCAGCAGCAAGCACGGTAACTGAAGTAGTACCATCTCCAACTTCTTGGTCTTGTACACGCGACATGTCTACCAATATTTTAGCAGCTGGATTATCTACACCCACAGCGCGTAATATCGTGGCACCATCATTTGTAACTTCAACTTGGCCAGCATTGCGCCCATGCGCTACCAAAATCTTGTCCATACCTTTCGGTCCCAAAGTGCTTTTTACAAGATCACCGATAGCAATAGCTCCTATAAAAGATGACAGGCGAGCCATTTCAGCCTTCTCTTCTTGCGCCTCGCTCTTAAGCACGCGCACAGGATTTAAAGACATTTCCTTAAAATAAAATGATAAAAAATGTTTAAAAAAGTTTTCTTCGCATGTTATTAATGATTCAATAGATAATATCATTCATTACGTTATAACCCTACTTTTTGAGCACAAGGTGCACTACTTAAACTCTCTTGTAAGATAGTCATTTTATTTAATTGGAATTATGCCTTCACAATATTATGCAAATTATCATTCGCTTCCTTATATTTTTAGACACCGATTAGTTCTAATATTTTTCGTAACATTGAAGGAAACTTCCAGAAACTTCAAATAAAATTTAACCAGTAATTTAAGGTAACATAAAAAATTCAAAAATTAAACTACATTAAAATTACGGAATTGCGGAATTATGGAACTGCAATCAGTTAACATTAATATATGGATACTTAAATGTACACGTGCATCCAGACTAATAGTGATTCCTCATGCTAAACGCCTTAGACAATGCGTCTATTTTATTGAAAAACACCCGGCGTTATTTACAACATTCTACTATTCAGTAAACAAAAGAACTCAGTTTCACTATAGACATATTTGATCTTTACACGATAAAAATAAGTTTTTAATTAATTTTGCTTTGTTTTTATGTATATTCTCACCATTTTTAGCGATTTTTTAAGTTTTCGTCTGCAGCAACACCCAAAACGACAAATGGAAAAAAATAAAAATGGCGAATGAGTCAATGCTTCTCACGAGTGACACACACAAACAACTATGTAAGAGTGTTGCAGTTTTTCCCATTGTCATTTGTATTCCTTTTTGGTACCACATATCTGATGCAGAAAAWAATCTCTTTTTATATAAAAATTGTATTTTCTCGAATTGGATGTAGTTATTGTATATGGAGCATCTGTTAGAATTTATGCCTTAGAAATTTGTTCATAATTTCAAAAAAGGGAACATTAATTAATAATGCCACACTTGAGTTTTAATTGAGCGTAATGCGTTTATTAAATGAAGTAATAAGTAAATTTTTTGATCTAATGAATATTTTTTAAATCATTTGAGTAAAAGCATGATAGATACATTTATTCTTTTTTCTTTTAAAGTTTTTTTTTGCATTGCATAGCGCAAAGAATTGTATGCAGTTGAGCAGTAATGAAATATGATTTTAGTTTGAAATTAAATAAATTTTTTAATGTTTTTAAATTTTTTGATATATTCAATAAAAATAAAATAGACATTTTGAGTCACACTGTTGCTAGTTATGTAAATAATGTCGCTTCTACACTGACAATACTTGATGTATTACTTGTACGTTATTTTCACCATAACATCTCAGAAATATTCCGTTCCCACGACAGTCGGGTCTAAGTAATCGGAACGAAATCGGATTTTTTATCCGACCGAAGACTTTCAACTCCGCAAAATTACTCCAGAAATGCTTTCTGCCGCTAAAACAACACCAAGAAATACCGTTTTTCAATTCACGAGCCATCACATGCTTTAAAGGGGAATTAATAATTTACTGTTTTTGAACAACTTTTAAAAGTAGCATTCGAAGCAAAAATTAATTACGATATTAAAACCGCATTTATACGTAGTCATATTTTTTGTTGTTCTTGTATATAAGAAGTTAGAAAAGGAAAAAACAGAAAAACAGGGACGATCCATATATTCTCTTACATGTATGTACATTATTTTATTGTAGTTGTGAAATTTCAACGGTGTTCTGTAGATTTAAGTTGGTTTCTTTCCTGTTACAAAAACAAATTTCAGATAATTCAATTAGACTAAGATTTACAATTTTGTTAACACTCTTCAATTACAAACGAATATTTATGTATCTTAAAAAAGTAACAAAATATAATAGATAATAATCATTAATGTAGATGCACTAGAATATGTCCTTCCATTCGCCAATTTCCGACGAAGAAACGCCAGCACACACTAGCTGAGTTTTAATAAAATATGAATAAAAATACATATTTTTTTCAATATAATCGCCCCAATTAACTTCGCCAAATTAGTGATATAGGTAATTATGTTATTAAAACAATATATATATATATAATCTTGCAGTGGGTTTAAATCGCAATTCTTCCCAGAAACAGAAAGTTTCACCTTAAACGCATCGTGGCATCTGGAAATATTTTCTTTATATTCATACTAGTTTTAGTGGTAGTATAATATGTTCTCTTTATTAAGATGTATGCACGAATGTACTACTTTCATATTTCCTGAATTACTGCACGTTGGAAATTTTGTTCTGACGTTATGTTCTTTATTTTCTAATTTATTCCTTTACCTATTATAACCTCATTATTAACTCTTAAATATCTTTTCTGCTTGATAATTTTTGTTTACACAGTATTAGAGCTCTTAAAATAGTAAATTGGTTAAAGTAACTTTTAGAAATCAATAATAATGTAATCTGTCACGTCTAATTCTGTCATTTACCAGCATTTTGCTAACTGAAATTCCTGTCTAACAGCTGGTGGTCGTAGCAGAGCTTTAAGGCTAATCGTTAACATCTGTCGCAACAGTGGCTCTAGTGGATTTGGTGATAATAAATGAGTTACAAGCCTTTCGTCCAGTATTCAGTCGCTCATTTGCCATTGGCAAGGACTCTAATAACTCATTTTGTGTCGGTTTTAGTTCAGAATTGTCTTGCCAGCAACGCATCAGATGATATTGATTAACCACTGCTGGCTGCATCGGTGACGACGACGAGGATGAGGGCAACGAGTTATCACTTGATATTCTTGGCGAAGTTGTCACGATTGTTCTTCTTACTGATCCAACACTTTTAAAATTAACTTTGCGATATTGGTTTCGCATGAGATATGAATCTATTTTTACATATGACTCTTTGGGTGCAATGTATTCTTGTTTGTTCTTATTAAATTTTTGTTGGATACGGATACTACGCTTTACCAGCCTCTTCCCAGAGACCTGTTGGCCGGGTATTTCATGAAAATGGCTGACTTTATACAATTCTAATGGATTCCCTGTAATTGCATTATTTTGCCCAGTAATTGATGCTACATTGCAGGAACTTTGTGTACCATTGACGTCGATCTGACGAATATATTTATATTTATTTACTTTCATTTGGGGCATTATGATTCTGTTAATATCATAATCACATCGGACGCCATCAACCATTTTTACATTAGTTACCAATGATGGTGTGCTTGATTCGACTTTGTTGTTGTCGTTGCACTCGCTGGTGTTAATTATGTTGCCCGAAACAGTGTAATTATTATATTTAGTTTTTGTTGCTTTGTTCTCGCCTTTCTGCGTGATTGCAGGAATTTTATTGTTGCTCTTATCTTTATCGTGGCTGTTCCTCTGTCTCGACCATTGTATTTGTCCCGTCAGTTGGTTTTGGTGTTGGTCCACGCCGTTAATGGCGTCTGCGTTTGTAAATTGCTCTACCGTGGTGGGAGTCGTCTTGCCGGTTGACGAATCTTTCGTCGAGCCTGCATAGCACCGGGAGCGCTTGTCGCTGAAGGTGTTGGCCTGAAGATATGAAAATGAAAAATAACTTTATTACAATATTGTTTAATTATTTCAATCGTTCAAAAAAGTTTCACTTCTGCTCGAGGAATTTTTCTTCGTTGCCTATTATAAAAACTTGTTTCTAATATCCGATTAAATTTCGGGTTTTTAATAGGAATATAACAATAATATATACAAGTGATAAAGATAAGGAATACCGATTGGCGTCAAAACTTCGGTCGATGCGTTGCCTAACTCAGTAGGTAATAATTCAAAATTAAATATTTAATTTAATTTTTGAAAGAATACCAGAATGAATTGAAAGAAGTTTTGATTATTTTTCGTCCATAAAAACATTAAAATCGAATCGCTATGTTCCTATTAAAAAACCCAACTTGGTACATATATTTTTAAAGGAAAATATTAAATGGACTGTATAAATGAATGAAACAAAATACTAAAGTTATTTACACATTGCAAAGTCGAAGAAAATATACAAAAATGAACGCAAAAACCAAACGAAGCACTAGTCACTTTCAATCAAACTCAAATGCACGAGGGGAAAAACAATTAGTACAAAGTTAGTGGATGCAGTTGGGTGATTATAATTAAGTTTGATTACAAGGCTCTTTCCTGTAGCAGTATTATACTTTTTTCTATTTTTTCGAATTCTTTGTTTTTTTTTTTTTGTTTTTGTTTCTTGCTTTTGAATGTTTTATAACTGCTATACTTACGCAAAAATATTGCTTGAAGCAGGCGCGGTACCTGCATTAAATTGGAAAGGTGCATTCGGTGTGGCCTGTAAAAGAAGTTGAATCAATGTTTACTGTCTTTTCTCAATTTTAATTTTTTTTATACATTTCCAAACAAATAAAATTTTGAATACAAAAAATATTACAAGTATTTTTTATTAGGAATATGATGAGGTTATTTAATTTTCTATTTAAAAAATTTGAATGAATGATTTATTAGTTACAAAACTAAATGTAGATGTAGTAGTGAATTTCCTAAAACTTTTAGTAACCTATAATATTAATATAATATTAATATTGTGTTATAAAAAGTAGATAATGCAAAGCAAAGATGGATGCAAGTCTAATACCTCACATAGCGGAAGTATCTAATAAACAAATGTCGGACAAGTCCGGTATAACAATTAATAATTTAAGAGGAATGAGGGTAGTTAGAGTAAGATAGAATAACAATGTAAATAAATTTATTATAAGTGCTGTCAGAAAAATAGGTGTAAAAAGGTTTTTTTTCAAATTGCATGCATCAATGACTATTTGCAAAAGCAAAGCAATTGCTTTTAAAATGTATTTCACACCATGAAATTCACTCTAAAAGGAAATGATTATTATTTTACACAAAAATTACATATACAAGTGTTTACCGTGCAACATATCATTAAAGATTTTTTTTTATTCTAAGCACAAGCTTTCTTTGATATTAGTTTTCTTTCTAATTGGATGTGACACAATGTATTCAACATCTAGGTCTTTATGGATAATTTGTTGCTATATATATATTATTTACGTCCAAAGGCTCTTTATTTGAATTTGTTTGCAAATGACGATAGACGATTAACAGCAGGATATGTTAAAAAATAGTTAAATCACTTTCTTAGAAATTTATTAACGTTTATGAATTTAGTATTTATCAATATTGTTTTTAAATTTTCATGATTATTGGAATTAAAATTATTAATTAACATGCGGCCTTTAAAAAAAAAAAACAAATTTTAATGTTACAGAATATATAAAAGAAGCTCATGATGTATGGGTGAAATAGATGGTATAATATGTAATTACATCTTCGTTAGAATACAACAAGCCTTAAATTCAACTTTACCTCCACAGCCCCACTATTAAAATTGAAAACCGGCGCTGGTGGTGTAGCTCCGAATTGAAAGGGTTTAGCCGCCTTTTATTCATTTCATAGTTTTATCAAGTCAAAATCAACAATGTACACAACAATAATTCATATATGTAGATTAATTTGAAGATATCCGTTATTGCAGACGAGATTTTATTAAAAGAAATGCAACACCAAGTTGCCATACGTGGATGCGATTATGATTTCACAAATCACAGTTCAATACCAGAATGCAAATTACATTGAAAATTGAAAAAAAACAAGAATAATTAAAGTTTATCTACATACAGTTATACAGTAGTTAAATTAGTCGTAATAATGGAATAAGTACGAAATTTTCTATATGTAAACAGAACTACTAGTTTATATACATATTACAGCTATGTCTACTAGAGAAATTAATTAAACTACAAAACATATTGTGGGTAAAAAAATTAGAGCTATAATAGAGATATTAGACTTACATCACTGGAGGAACCGGTGAAGTTGAAAGCGGGCGCACTTGAAGCAGTGAAATTGAATGCTGGTTTAGCTGCTGGAGCGATTGCTTGCATACCAAAACTAAAGCCACTCTATAAAAGATTAACAAACAAATGTCTTCTTACATTGAATTACATAATTAAAATAAAATAAATTAACTTACATTTGTTCCTATTTGAGAGCTGTTTCCGCCGAAATTGAATGCCGGCTCGGATTTCTTTGCTGCAGATGCACCATCACCATTCGATGCCGTAGAGCCGAAGCTTCCGAACGTTGAGGTACTGGCGGCGCCAAAGGTTGGAGTGCTGTTGGGGGTGTTGTTACCATTATTACCAAAGGTTGGAGGTGCACCGAATGAAGATGGCGAAGTAGACACGTTGCCAAAAAGATTTTGTGTTGTATGTGTGGTCGGTGTGGCGTTGGAAGTGTTAGCTCCGAACATTGTGCTGGGACTCACTGTGGAACCATTGGCTGCCACACTGCCAAAAGTAGCATTCGCACCCGCAGCTGTGCCGCTACTAACTAAGTTTCCAAACATTGAGCCACTAGTCCCTGTCGTTGACGAAGCTGCAGGAGGGGCGAAGCTCCCAAATAAAGGTTTAGAAGGCTCATTTGTATTCTGTGTACCAGAATTGATAGAGGATGCTCCGAAAGCGAATCCACCTTTCGGCCAACCGACAGGCGCAGCTATGTTTACATTTGTCGTTGTATTGCTCGATGAACTTTGTGTGGTGGCAATTGATGTCGATGAACCAAAAACAAATGGCGCATTCGAGGACTGAGACGCACCGGCATTAGTTTTATTATTCGAAGTGACACTCCCAGCACTTCCGAAAATCATTGTCGCTGAAGCAATGGGCTTTGTTGACTCATTACTGATAGTTGACGCAACATTTTGGTTTATCGATCCGAAAGGATTTGCTGAAGGGGCAGCAGTGGTTGTTGGAGCGGAGGTAGTAGTTGTCTTGGCTGGTAAGCTGCTTTCACCGAACGTACCAAAAACATTTTTGGACACATTGGACAATGTAGAGTTCGCTGTGGTGGGCGCCGATGTGATAGCAGCTGAAGCCCCAGAAACGGTAGGAGAGCTAAAGCTACCAAAAATAGCATTAGTAGCCGGTGAGACTGTAGCAGACCCTGAAACACCGCTACCGAAACTAAAACCCTCTGTAGGTTTTGAAAAGGCCRAAAGCGTTGTAGTTGTTATAGATGTTGATGTTGTTAAAGATGGCGTTGGCTTTGTTGCTGGTGCAATTGAGGTAGTATTACTGCCAAAACTAAACATTGGTTTAACGGTGGCAGTCGACATTGATGTAGTCGTTGTAACTGATGATTGGCTGGGTTGAGTTGTGGAAGTAGAGGCACCGAAAGTAAATGTTGTTGTGGTTGTTGTTGTACCTGTGCCGAATGAAAATCCACTAATTGATTGAGACGTTGCTGGTGTTGTGCTATTACCAAAAGAAAAGCCTCCAGCCGCAGGTTTACTACTCAATGACGTATTAGAGTTAGGTTGTTTCTTAGATTCACTTCCAATAGCACTGACAGAAGTTACTGGTGCGGCAAAGCTGAATTTGACAGYTGGTGATGATGTCACCGTAGCTGTAGCAGTGGTTGCTGGCACACCAAATTGGAAGTTGGGTTTTGTATTAAGATTATTGTTTTCTGAAGCGGTGCTTCCGCCAAATTTAAAACCGCTTATGTTTGATTCAGTTATTGACTTCATAGAATTGTTTCCGTTATCTTCGACATTTTTGTTTTCGGCGTTTTTGCTGGAAACATCTTTTTCGCTTGAGTCAGTAGTAGGTTTTATGCCAAATATGAAGCCACTGCCTAAAGGTGGTGCCTGGCTTGTAGCCTGTGCGTTTTCCAATGCTGAATTTTTTATATTGCCTTCTTCAGTCTTTTGATTTGATCCGGCTACGGATGTCAATACTGTATCGGAATCTGAAGTCGTTGTTCCATTCACACTGGACCCAAAGCCGAAAGTGAATTTTGACGATGCGGCTGAGCCGAATRTAAACTTAGGACCATTGTCTGGAAAATCTGACGTTGCTATTCCAGGTTTTGCTTGTTCACAACAAACGCATTTATTGCGAGCGGCATCATTTCGCGTCATGCAAGCATCACATTCCCACTTAGCTGACATTTGGGATGCCGCAAGTGATTTGAAACCAGAATCCGGTTGAGCAGTTGATTGACCGGAAGACTTGCAGTCAACATTACTGAAACCAAATGTATATGTTGTGTTTTTAGTGATTGTTGTAGAGTTAGTTTTAGTGTTATCCTCGATTCCACTGCCTGGTTTCTTTGTCTGACAAGCAATACATTCATTGCAATCGGATTTGTTGTTTATAAGGCAAGTTGTGCATTCCCATGAGTTGGCTTTCGGTTTAAATGCTTCACCAAATGAATTAGACTGCCACTTACTTGTGCTTAAGCTGGTGGACTCTGTCACTCCTTTACGCACAGTCTCACATGCGACACATTTATCGAATTGTTTTTTATTCCGTAACATACAAACGTCGCACTCCCACTCATCCAAAGGTTTTTTGAATTGAGCACTCAAAGTTAAAGAGCTATCAATTAGAGATGCTTTGGAATTGGAATTTAGCGTTGATGTAAACGTTGATCCTTTTGTGCGTATAGTTTCACAAGCTACGCATTTATCTACATAACTCTCATTACGAATCAAACAAGTGTTGCATTCCCACTTATTGTTTGAAGCTTTTTTGAACTGATCGCCAAAACCACTTGTGGACTCGTTGCCATCAGAGCTTGAGCTCGATATTTCTTTTGTGGTTGACGGCAAAACAAAGGGTTTTTTCAGGGCATCAAGCACACTACCGCTTTTCAGTTGGGATGCTACCGTTTTACCACTTTCTAGTTTCGCTTGCTCGTTGTCTTCAAAGTTTACATTGCTTGGCGGACTAAATGTGTACTTTTTAATAACTGTATCCGAATTATGTTTTGACGAAATATTCGAAGTAAAACATTCGAAAGTTAGTGGTGCTGAAAATTTGAAATTCATTTTAATTCCTGTAGTGGATGAATTGCCATCCTTTACAACTGATTTGGCCATCGTTACGTGATTGGTTCGTTTTGMAGGGTCAATTTTGTTACTGGCTGCGCTAAATTTGAATAGAGCTGTATCACTGTTTCTGCTGGCGTCGGCCGTATTATTTTCGATTGACATTTGCGATTTGGGCAAGGTATCGTGATTTTTTAAGACGGGTTGAATGCTATCGAGAGGCATTGCTGTTTGAGATTTTGGTAGAGCTATGTCAAACTTTGGTACCGACTGCATAAGCGGAAACGCTATATTGGGCAAATTGACTGGAGGTGGAGGTTCGTCTGCTTCAAAATTTGCAGCATTCTTTGATGCAGTAACACGACCAGATGAGCGAACTTTGCTTTTTATTTTATTTGTATGTTGTTGTTGAACTTGTGGCCTCGCCTTATCGATCAAGTTGTTTTCGTTTGCTATAGGTGGTTTATATTCACCGCTCCTGACAATTGCACACGTGGCATCACTGCTTTGCATTGTGATTTGTCGTGAGCGTTCAGTGGTGCTTTGCATCTTTTTCATTTGCAATAATTGTGATATCGACGGTACTTGCAATTCCTTCACAGGTGGGGGTATAGTTGCGTTCTTAATTGTTGGCTGCAAGGTGACAGCCGGCCGCGAGTAAGGTGTGCGCACTTGTGAAAGACGCATTGCCCGCGACACTTGTAGATCAGTTTCATTTAAACGCGTTTTAGCTTGTGGAAGAATTTGTAGATTTGCTTTGACGCTTGTATTGGCCATCTTCTTAGCTTCACTTAAGGGTGTGGCAAAGTCATTTATCAAGTCTAATATCCGTTTGGCTGTACTGGAAATGGCCGAAGTGCTTTCTAAAGCATTGTTGCTCAGACCACTTAATGCATTTGACCCGCCAGTATTGGCAATAAGCGAATTATTCGAAGAGGATAGTGTCGATAAACTCGAAGTGGGGCGTATTACAGTTGGGGTGATATTACAAATTCTGTTCGACCCAGCACTAGAATTATATTTCTTGTAGGCTGCTGCGCCTCCATATGTGGTTTTTCCTTTGTAGAAAGGTGAGAATGTATTTAGCAATCTACTATCGCTTAAAGCTGCCGTACTGCCATATATAGAAGCATTAAATTGGCGTCTATTTAGAGATGTCAGAGATAAAGTAGAATTGTTTATAACATTAGCAGATTCGGCAGTGTTTATTCCGCCAGAAAAAAGCGATTTGCGGCCTTCTAAATGAGAATAAAAATTGATGCCATTTCCAAACGAAGAAGTTCGGCTTTTATTTCCGTTTTGGCTATTTATGTTGGACATATTAAATAAACCTGTTTTACGTTGCCCTAAATTTGTAATATGGGGCAACTCAGAATTACTGCCGATACAGTCGTCACCACTTTCGGAAGATGATTCGGCATCTGCATTGCTCTCCTCAGGTATCTCTATACCGTTTAACTTTTGCTTCTTACTGCTTACCACTGTCGATGTATTCCCATTTATATTACGACCCTCTTTCCTATCCGACAACGTTAATGGTTGGTTGTCTCGATTGAATGCTTCAACTTCACTTATAGTTGTTGAAGTGTCCGCTGGATCTGATACCAGTTTCTTAGGATCCAATACACCTCCAAGGGATTGGCGTTTTAAATTTGAAAACTCCATTGACATATCCCGTTCTTTAGCTGCCAGCGAAGTCGAGGGTAGATGCAACGTTCTTCTTGAGCTGTAAAAATATATCTCATAATTATTAACATTCTTATATTAACTTCTCCATATATGTTTTTTTTCAAATGGGAAATAAATATCTTTTTCTATCAACTATATGTATTGCAAAATATTTCTGGTTATTAGTACTATATTAAAAAATTAAATTTCTTCTTATGACAATTAGTGAACATCTAAAATTTCTTATATTTTTACTCGAATCTTTACCTAATTCCAGTAACGTTATCAAATTGTTTTTCATTAATATTCATTCTTTTCATAAGAGCATCTTGCGGTTTAACTTCGGGTGCATATGTTGTACTAAATGTGAACGATGTCGTTTTTTGTGTGTTTACGTTGTTATTTACGTTTCCCTCGGTGAAATTACTTGTAATGTATGATGGTGTCGGTTTGGACAACACATTATCAATAGAATGGCTGATGATACTTCTATAATTATTGCCGACCRCAGGAGTAGATGCGATTAACGGCGACTGATGAACACTTGAAATCTAGATTTATAAAAACAGAAAMAAAATCATACAAAATTTAAATAAGTGCAAAAAAATGTTGTCTTACATCAAAACTAATCCGGGATCGTTTACTAGGCGGTTCGTTAACAAATTCTGATTTTGCAGTCCGAAGAGTTCTTGCCTTTGGGAAATCTTCTTCGCTATTGTTGTCAGTATCATCTTCATCTGAATCTTTGTTGATTTTATCGCTGCGGCCTAGGTTTTCTTTATATTCTCTGCGTGAAAGACTTTCATTTGCATTTGTGTCTCTATCATCATCATCGTCATATTCTTCATCGTCCTCAATTTCTAAACGCCGACGGCGCCGTGCCGAGCCTATATTGAGGCTTCCATTTAATGAATCATTATTTCGTGCTGATGGTGAAAACCATTTTGAAAAACTACTAGGGATTATGCTAGATACTCGCGATTTTACTTTCCCAATAATCGACTGAAAAGGCAATCCAAACATTTAATAATGTCAGTTTTGAATGAATGTAAAAATGTCTGAAGATTATTTATGAAAGAAATTTCTATGTATTCAGTTAGCTGCAAATACGAAATGCACCAATATTATTTAGAGGTCAGAGACCCTGACTGCTTGTGTTCGTAAAAAATATGAAACTTTTACAAACTATTCTATTCTTCTAGAAACTATTATTTATTAATTACAATTTCAAATACATTCACTTAATAGTTTATAAGCACTGTACTCACGTTGTTCGCWGAGCCCGCCAGATCCTCTAAGGTGTCATCGTCATTATTGCTGCTGTCATTTTTCTTTACTTTCTGCATTATACCTTTACTTTGCGCCGCGCTTTGACTACTTTCGTACTCTGCTGACATAGCTAGGACAATGTCGACAGCAGGGGACCTCTATATTTTATTAAAAATTACGCTCACAGAAGTCGCAATTCCAATACATTTATTTATGCATTTACTCAATTTGTTTCATATAATCACACATATGTCTCAGTGACAACAATTTTTATGTTTTATAATAGATTTTGGTAAATCTAAATCTGTAAATTATGCCCTTCACTTTTTATATATTTTTTGAACAAACTACAGTATGTAATTCTCGAATAAAATTTTCCTTATTAGAGTTCTTCATAGTAGTAACTTAAAATAAGTAAGGCCTCTGTCGCTACCGAGGGCAGCGCTGCTCTTGCGGCACGTTACTTTAGATTTCCTTCAACAAGCAGTAAGCGATTTTCCTACTTGCTCTTTAACGCAAAATGTAAGCTTAAATCTATTGCACTCTTTTTCACAAGCACATTCCAATTGAAACTTCCTTCAGCCGTTTTTRATTCGATGTTTTCGCTGTCACCGTCCCCATCAATTTTTACCACTTTTGCATATTTATCAGCCAGACATTCGAACTTTTAATTATAGTTTTCTACCGTAGTCACTTCAATAATTAATTTACTTTAACTACATCTATTCCTAATATTGTTCTCAAGATTTAGGAATAATTTTAAACCGAGAAGATTAAAAGAAAATATGGTTTTTTAAGACTTTTCGCGGAACCACGATGAAAGAAACAACGACTTTTAGAAACGCGTGAATACGAACGAGAATAAACGAACAAGCAACGAGTCAAAGATCAAGTCGTTCAAATAAAACGAATCGGCAAATTATTTAACGAAAATAAATGGCKGTAGCCACACAGAGTTGTAGTAACTGACAGATAGGAAAAACTAATTGTTTAGGAATTCAATATATTTCTTATTGTAAAGAAAAATATGGCAAAATTGCTCATTCTCAACACTTTCTACAAAAAATATTGAAGAGGAAAAATAAGCAATATTCTAGCTGATATATTGAAAAATTGTCAACTATAATCCATGCATACTGATGAAAAGTTAAAATATTAAGATTCTAGGGGAACTATTTTGTATTATTTATTTTGGATATTCCAAAACAGCGCATAATTGCGTAACCGTAATAGTACTAAAAGACGGAAATTTTGGTTTCAATTGGAAGGGGGTATTCTCGCATCCTCCTATATCTTTACATGTATGTAGGAATTAATGTTCTGCATCTTTTACCTTACTTTATGGTCTAAAATCAACTCTACAAAACCTGGCTAGATTTATCAAAGAATTGGAAAACTCACCAAGTTCCTTATTGATTTATAAATAATCCTTCGCAAAGAATGTCTAAGACTATGGTGTTTTCAGTTTTATGCAAAAAAAGTGAAAATATTTGATAAAAGTAACTAACTGAAGGATTATCAAAATTATCACAATATTAAGATGTGAGCTTCTATGCTTTCCTACAAAACAAAATGTTGGCATCAGTAAATAAAGTAATCACAAACAGTATACACCGACTTGATTTACAGTTCATGTAGAACTGATAATCGTTACAACAACAACAACATGGTAGTACACGGAGTATATGCATTTATTTTTGATTGCTTACAAATCTGGCTTCAAAAATTGTATTAACTTAAGAGTTCGTTACGAAGTAGGAAATCTAAATACTTAATCTTTTCGAACTTTTTCTGCACGTGGATCATCGGGACGCATTACAATATATCCCATCTTATATCGTCGGTTATCACCGTCTCTGGCATAATATCCAGCAACGCCAACCGCTGCCATTCCCAATCCTATCAGTGCTAAGACTGACCCGCCAACAATGTCTGGAATCTCGTTCCAAGCACGCTTCAGGAGGCCATAGGAATTACGCGCAGTTGAAGCAGACATGCCAAAACTGTAGAAYATAATATTATTGAATTAATGCTTTTAATTAAATAATATAATTTTTAAAAACCCACAATATTGATAACCACCAACGTTACACAACACAAATGGCAGAAATGTCACTGAACAGCTGCCAGTGGAAAAATATATGGTTGCCAACTTCATAATTCGGTAATAAAAAAAGCGAAAATTATTAACGTGTATTTACGTGAAAACAGGAAAACCAAAAATTAATCCAAGTTTCGATACTATATCTTAATAATAATAATATGTATATGAATAATTAAATAAATACTAAAGTAAAGGTGTGTTCAAGTTTATTATTCAATGAAAAAAAGTATTACGTCGAACACACGAAAAATTTGCAAATTACCCTTTATTTTAATCCTTGGATGTTGTAATTTGATAATAGAAAATAACAAATGGTATAATTAGGTAATTATTTTTATTTGTACAGAATATGTTAGGTTTGTACAATGACTTTGAGTAAATATGAAATATAATTACTTCCGTTAAACAGATCCAAAACATAAAAAAATAATTGATATAAATTTCCATATATCAATATTTTATATTTTCCACATATACGCTTTATTGTTTAAAAAATAGAATAAAAAAATAGTTTCCTGTTATTCCTGATAGTTTTCGGTTTTGATATCGTTAAGACCAAGTTCTTCATTTTGATCGAATGTGCGTTCGTATTTTACAATGACTAATTTTTCGTCTAGCTGATCATCTTCTGCCATAGATTGTACATAACTATTTCCAGCGGGATCATCCAAAACCAAAGTTGCTTTCAATTCCAAAGCCAAAATTTTTTCGAACTTATTTACAACGGCTTCCATACGTTTCTTACTTTCTTCGTCAGCAGAATCGCGAAAAAAGAAACTTTCATCTTGAAGTTGGTCTCTCATAGCTACTATAATACCTTCTATAGTGGTGAAACGACCTCCAAGAGCAGATGGACCAACTTCACAATCTAATTCCGGAATTCGAAGGCTACATGTTTCAGATTTTAGCACATCTCGAGTAAGATCTTCATTGCTTTCAACTTTGACTTCAAAGCGAATACCTGTTTCCTCAATCCCACCTCCAGATTTTACCTCATTTGTTTTACACCCACAAACTTCGCATACTGTCGCCATTATAACAACTTCTTTAAAATGTGGAATATTTGTTAGTTTCATATTCGTCTCGCAAGGCGAACCACACTGTGAACATAATGTTTGAAACTGCAAAACTTCGCCATGTAGATCATCAATACCCCAAGCGTCTTCCGCAATGGGTTTCAGTAGATGTTTCTTTTGAGTTTTCGAATTTTCCGCACTATCATTGGTTTCCTCTGCACTTGACACATCTGTTGGACAATAAATACCTGGAAATACATGTACACTTAAAAATAGGACTTTTTTTATCACTGAGATTATGAGATGTAAAATGGTTGTGTTAAAAATGGTCTATTTCATCTGAGCTAACTAAATTATACTTGAATAAAAGTATCTTACAATTAAAATGTCTATATATAGTATATATTAATGTATATGAAACGACACTGACCAAGAATTTGATCTTGCCCTTTTTCTCTTTCGAAGTGTAGAACCTTACAACCCGGATCCGATGATGGCGCAAAAGGATTCTCAATAAAACTATTTCCACTTATGTCTTCCAAGACAAGTGTAAAGTTCATTTGTTTCTCTTTTAAAGAGGTTAACTTTTTGACATACGCATCAATTTCAGCTGCAGATTCAGGATGTTTTTGTTTTCTGTTTTCTTGATCTTGAGTCAGACCTCTAATCGTTCTGTCAAGTATGCCCTCAACGGTAGTTATATCACCCTTTTGACTTTGAGAAGGTATTTCCAGTTCTACTTCAGGAATTCTTACGGATGTGTAATCCGAGCGAACTACTCGTCGGTTTAAGTCTTCAGCATTTTTAACATTAAGTTCAATACGCACACCTTTTTTCTGTATTTCTGATGCTGATTGAATTTCACTGTTTTCATAACCGCAATATTCACATTTAAAAGACATGAGTACAATCTCCTTAAAGAAAGGTATTTTAGTGAGTAGGAGACGGGTTCTCCCTGAGCGAAAGCAATTCATACATGCGGATTCTATATCCGTTGCTTCTAGATCTGGATCATCCCCGTCAATATTTCTGAATATGGGCTTCTTATCATCTGCCATATTTTAGAATATTTTTTTTTTTATGTAAAATTAATTTTCACGATTGGAATAAACAATTGAAATTACAAAATTCTTCATATATACATATGTATATAGTTAACAACGTGCTAATAGGAAAACAGTGTGGCACGTTGAAATATTTTTGGATCAGCTTAGAATATTTGGCCGAGCTATAACATTAGAAATCAAGTTAGGTATTTAATACTAAAGATATGAAGTTAAATGTAATAAAATTTCTGTTGGACATAGTTGCCTTAAAAACGTGTATTAAAACACACTGAATTCATAAAATTTATTAAACAAGCATAAAACTTTGTTAACTACAGGGTAAAATGTGAAAGATTTCAACATTGTTAATTCAAATAACAGCTGATTGCACGACATTCACCGGTCTGAGAGTTAATATAATATTTTTGGAAAATGTAAGAGAATTTGAAATATATAATGTCCTTTAAATAAATGTAAAACGACCTTTCCATATTAAAAGAAAAATAATTGACAAAATGACCACATTGAGGTTGATGACGCGTATTGGGCAAACTGTTTGGCAACAGCGTCAAGGAATGCAACTGACAGTTTTGGGTAACATTAAGTACAGAAAATGGTGCCWACTAAACTCTCACAGCACAACACAATGTATATCACTTGCACACTTCGTAAGTAGTCGCCATTCATTTAGCACAAAGAAAACTGCGGACTTAGCTGGTAAAACCGACACCAAATCATCTCCGGTTTTAGCCGACGAGGATATTTTTGGTGAGGCATCTAAACTGGGACTATTTGCGAAATTCAAATTGATGTACAAAAAATATTGGTATGTGCTTTTACCTGTTCATGTTGTTACTTCGATTGGTTGGTTTGGAGGTTTCTATTATTTGTCGAAAAGGTGAGATTGGGCATTAATGTGCATATGCATACTTATATATAGCAAGATAATTTTATTCATTAACATTTACTATTTTAGTGGCGTAGATATTCCATTGCTTCTACAACATATGCCCCTTAGTGAGAGTATAGTGGAACGTTTCCAAAACTCTAGTATGGGTCACTATGCGATAGCTTATCTTTGCTACAAAGTCGCGACTCCCCTACGTTATGCGGTCACTTTAGGTGCGTATTATGTTCAGTTGATTTCCATATAATAAATTCAGTGTAATTAAGGTAAAATTTATATGCAGGTGGTACAACCGTGTCCATAAAATATCTTGTTCAAGCCGGACATATTAAACCAATTCCTAGTAAACGAGAATTAATGCAGATGTATGAAAAAAATAAAGCCGATAGAGCTGCTGCGAAACTAGAAGAGATTGAAGAAAAGCAAAAGAAAAAGGGCAACGAATGAGGGATTCCAAAGTGATATTCACCAAAAATTAAAATACCTTAAGAGACAAATGATTACCGATTTGCAATTCAAATTTCTCAGTCCTGTTTTGACGATTAAAACAGTAAAGTATGGTGCGGAATGAACATTTTACTACTTTTTCTTATTTTAAAGAAATGTATTCATTCATGTACTAAGTTATTTTTTTTACTGTGAAAAGTACTCTTTAATTATTTTACTTGTTTCATTACTGCAGGACTAAGATTATAAGAGCAGTATATACATATTGATAAAAACAGTTTGGTGTGATTTTATGTAAATAATATTTAAAAAGATGGTGTAAAATGCCTACTTCTATTCAATAGTAACCTCAAGCTCTATAGCAACGACAAATAAAACAAATAGGGCATTTAATGTCAACAAACCGAACATAAAAATACATCTTTTGTGAAAAATAATACTTAAAAAATCGAAAATATATTTTGTTAAAGTAATATATATCTTTTATTGTAATGGAAACAACTTTATCGGATGAATCCTTGAATATTATCGGTAAATCGAAGGCTAGTCAATTTTTTGACTATGTTATTGGTCACATAGAAGACATTGTACTTGGAGAAGATTTCAAGGTTATAAATATATTAAATAGAAATTATAAAATGGAACTACTAACTCCATATTTCAAACCTATATCTTCATTACGATTTTCATACATTTTAAATAAGTCAAATTTTATTTTATTAGGCACTACATAATGATTTTCTGGAGAAGTATTGGCATTGCATTGAAAATACTGAGGAAAACAAACTAGTATATATGGATATATTTCAAGAGTATACCAATACTTTTGAGACCTTCCTAATTAAAGAACTCTGTGCTCGTATGCCTGATTTTAATATGAGCCAATTTGCGGAGGAACTAGAGTAATTCATATGGCATATTAGAAAAACAATTAATTTATTCGTGTTTAATATAGGAAAAATGAGGCATTCGATGATGTTTTAAATAGCGGCGAAATTATTGAACTTTTACACTCATTCAATAGCTTTGAGACTTTTAAGGAACTTATGCTAGACTACCGCAGCGCAAAAGAAGGTCAAATGGGGCACCTAGACTCAAATATCCTCATCACAACTTCGTATTCGACTACAAACCCGGCGATACCCACTGTAACCGAAGACAAATGTGATATATAAATTATTTCGTATTAATATTGAGTAGCCATGTTATATGTTACATATGTATATATTTTTCAGAATTCGACTAATTAATAAAATTTATGTGTGAATTTGAAAAATCGATAGTATTTCTAACAAATTTTTATTATTTCAATTTGAATATTTGAATGCCGCAACCATAAATGAAACATCGTTTGAAATGGTCTATTCGCAAACCTTTGATGTCTGATATGGGTGTATAACAAACCAGTTCTGTCGCAGGAATTCGCAAATGGATCTTGTTTACAACCTGGTCTAGGCCCGAAGTATATGCGCTAAGACCCTCGTTATCGAAAGTTAACTGTACCGCAGTTACCTGTGCTGAGTGTGCATTTTCGATGCAAAATTTATTTTTAATCTGAAATGTATTTTCGTTTTGAATTTCTAGAGAAGTATAGGAAACTGACTGGTCATCACCACCAGTAAGAATATGAAGCATATAGGTGTTAGGCTCATAATATATGTCCAAAGCATTTACTCCGCTTGCGTGATGTGGCAGTTCAATTGGTAATTCTACCAAACTCAAGTTAAACATACGTACTTTTCCATTTGTACCTGCTACTAGAATGTAAGAGTTCGCGAACGCTCGTAAATGCAGCAAACAACAGCCGCAATAGAAAGCAGCCTCGGATATAATTTTAAAAGATTCATTAACGTATAACTTCCGCAAATAACCGTCTGAACAACATAGGAAAACAAAATATTCCACTTTTTTGCCTGGATTATTAGTGTTCACTTTAACCACATCGCATGACATTATTCGAGTTTCCGGGTTGGGTCGGTAAGTTTGCGTCTTTTCGTCATCACTCTGTTCATTCTTATTTAAAGTATAACTCGTAAGTTCATGGACACGAAAATCTTTCAGGTCCAATAACGCTATGCATAGCTGCGCTCGGCCGCCGCCTGTAAAAATTAAAACAGCGTCTTGTTGCATTTGTATAGTTGTTAATGCTCTCACATTGGATATATGTGAATGCAATTCCGCACATTGCTCTAATCGACCACCGGACATTAATTTAGATATTTTTACCGTGTTATCGTCTCCGGCACTTACAACTATACTAAAAGGTACTTCAATGTGGCGTGGTTCAATTATATTCAAAATGTTACATGAACGAGTGTGCCACTGATTTCGTAACATCTTTATACTCTTAGAAAGGATATTGCACAGTTTATGCTTATGAAGTCTTACCACTTTATTTTTTATAAATAGTAGCTGCACAAACTTTCTGCTGTCTTCAGAAGTGATATCGTAATGCCAACTGCGATGTCCTCCACCGCAAGGTATTTGTACGGATATGTCATAGTCGTGAGACCATATCACGAAATGATTATCATTAAAACCCAAAAGAAATTCACTGTTTTCAATTACAGCTAATTTCTCCACCCAAGCTACAGGTACAAATGTGCGTTGATGTGATACAATCGTGTCGGACTCAATTCGTATGGAAAGTATCCGCAATGATCCATCATGGCCAGCGCTTTGAATATATATATAATCATTTTGAACTTCTTTGAGGTAAAACATCGTTGCACCTAATGATCCGTGCAGATGTCGAATAGTGTTCACACATGTGGCTTCAGCAGTTCCATAATCAATTTTAAATAGTATTGTGTTTCCCATACGATTACTAACTAACAGATAATCTTTTAATTGTTTTATTTTTATACGTAGGGCTGTTGTTGTCCATGGTTCCTTGCAGTGTGGTAGGGGAACAGCGATTTGAATCACTATGTTTTCACCTTCAAGAAGCAAACACTTTCCAGATTCATCAGATATCAAAAACGAACTATTATTTAAAAAATGGAATGAACGTATTACCCCGTCAAGTATATCGGCATCAAATAATATGTTGAACTCGTTATTTTGGCAATACTTAATAAGTGTTAATCGTTTGTAGCCACATATCGCAATGTAGTTGTCTTGTATTTCAAATACTGTGCATTTATATTTTTTATGCATATCAATGATGTGCCATGGGCCACATTCATGTATATAATTTTCCTCTTTATATTGAAGGAGGGCGTACATAAGACGATTTCTATTTGTTATACCAACTAACATGTTAGATTTAAGAAATTTTGCTTTTGCCACATATTCTGTTGGTTCTAAATCTGGAACAATCATAGTTGTTGAAAAAATCTCCGATTTCATTCTAAATACATCTTCAACATTGTATGCCAGCAAGTTTCCCGTTGATCCGACTGTATACAATGTGTGTGTATACTTGTCGTATTCGAAATTCCATATCACTGCACCGAATTGAATACGTTGTTTGAACAATAATTCAGCTTTACAGTTCCAAATACAAAAATGAGAATCTTCTCCGACAGTCACAGCCATTGGTTTCCGATCTGTGAAAAGTACGCATATACATTAAATTAAAAATAATGAAATACAATAATTCACCGAAATGGATAATTTTTCCTTGAAACACTCGTGCAACATGACCATATCCACTAGCTATTGTATTAATTTTTAATTCATCCCAAGATTCATTTGACGTCCATTCAAGTTTCCAGAAGCGTATTGACCGGTCATCTGACGTAGTGGTCAGCAAATTAGATTCATCATCAAAGTCAATAGAAAAAATTACTCCATTATGGGCTGGTTGTCTATGCTTTAGTTCCACTTGTATTTCAATGCAATCAATCTTTCGAGAAATCGTCTCAGTAATAAATGGCTTCCAAATGAGCAGTTCTCCAAAAGCATTCCCTAATTAATTTCCAATTAATAGTTTTCATTTGATAGCAATGTGCACCTACCTCCAAAAATTATCAAATCCTCATTTGTTCTGCCTCGAATATGGGAGCAATAAAGTGTGGATTTTTCATTGGAGGATGACTTCGCTGTAACTTTACAAGAATTCTTTTCTTGCGCGTTTTCTTCGTAAAGGAATCGTAGAAGCACACTGTGAGCAGTAAGAAGGACAAATTCATTTGGATTTTGAAGAAAGTGTGCATAACTTATCCAGTCAGTAAGACGAAAGTGAGAAAGTTGCCTAAAGGTGTACTATAAATAAGAAGCTACTTTCACAAAAGAACATGCGCATATTTTTTAAATATAACACCTCATATTCGTCGTAGACATACTGCATTAACATACATTCTTTTTCGCCGTGTACAATAATTCTTCCTTCATTGAAAGATGCGTTTTTCAACAACACATCAGCAATGCCATGCACTTTAGCGCGCAATTTCTGCGCAAGCACGAGGCATTTAGATGTGTTCGGCGAATGCAGGTGTAACTCATTGCCAACACCTGCAAATAAGACATTGGACCAATTTAATAAAAACAATAGTGTGTGATATATTATTTATACCTGAAAGTATTGCTCCTCCGTGCAATATTTTAATTGCTATGGAATCTGTAATTGTCAACTCGGCTTCCATTACTTCTAATTGGAAAACTATTGACAGTTGTTCTTATAATATAATTACAATTCATGTAGCAGAGTTTCATTTTGTTATATATATATAAAAATAAAGCTAAAGGCGTATACATACACTACAGATGCGATTAATTCATTTTCAACTAAAAAATAAATATATGTGTATAAACATTGCAGTAAACAAATAAAACCTTTCAATAGGAGATATTTAATGTAATCATTCAGCGTGTGCATTTACATAATATAAGTTGAGAAATTCGACGATGAAAATTAATATTTAGGTTTCAAAGACACATCAAAGTTGAGGAATAATACTATAATGAATGCGGTTATTATTAAATATTATTATATATGTTTGTTATTTATTTAATTATAATACCTACAATCATATATTACTTGGAAGGAGCTCATTGATGGACCTGTGCTGAAAAGGGACCATTGAGTGCATGGCATTAGACAATGCACTTAGCGTAATAAAAAAATACACTTCTGTGTACACAAAAGTTTCAACCCTGAGCCCATAGTTCCAGTGGAAATGGGATTTTATTCATTTGCAATTGCAAATGTAAAATGTCATCTACATCAGTGTTGTTATTTTCCGCGGCGAATAAATTTGTTCCTTTCTCGCGTGAGCCATTAAGTAGTTTTAATTACAAAAAGATATAACTTATAAACAACATTTTTTTTTGTCGTAAACTATAAAGCGGTACTGTGCGTAATAAGTCTTAAATAACTTATACTTTTGGTTATTGGCTTGGAAAGTAATAAACTTAGCTAATTTCAAAGCTGGGGAGTAAGAGCAAATACTATTGAAGAAGAGTGTAACCTGTTTCTACGCAAGTATTCGTTGGCTTAAAATGTGAAAATTTAGCCTAACTCATAGTTATTTGTACAATATGCTTTAAAACAATATATAAAACTATTGGAGTTAAGTGGGTTATTGTGCAAATCTTTGTGAATTAAAATTGGTTCTAATGGAAAAAAAAGAAAATGGAAACATATTTTTTAATTACGTCCTAGTCTGTTAAAAAGGTAAGTAAGTCATGTAATTTTTTTATACTTGTGTAGTTACTCACAAAGTTGTTTCCTTTATTATATACATACGTATGATTGATTGCACGGGCGTCTGTGTATTGTATAGATGAGATAGAACCAATAAAACATAAATTTTCATTTCGTCTCGAACAGGTTTAGTAGCGAATATTCATACTTATTGTTTACGTTGCAAAATGTATGCATACACAAGTACATGAATATGAAATGTGTTTACATTATTTTAGGGAATGGAGAGATAGTAATTTGGTACAAAAAAAGTTTTTTTTATGCACACCTATTTGTGATCTTTTTTCAGTAAGCACGACTCAACTGGTCTTCAACTGGTTTAAAAAACACAAAATAGATGAAGTAATAAAAAAGGTATGACAAAATTTGATGGGCGCTTCTTGTATTCTTACGTACCATATTGTAAGGAATACTTTGTATGTAAAAGTATAAATCCGTTTCGGTAAATTTTAGAATAGCACCCCTGGATTTCAACCTTAGAATTGGTATGTACGGATAGAGGAGATTCTCTAGATTAAGAACATATATATATATATATATATAGTTACCGCTGATTTATGTGTTTGAGATATTTGCATTTAAAGTTCAAAAATTCAACTATTTAAAATGCGTGTTTTTCCTCATTTATAATGGATTTTATGGTTATATTTTTAACTTTTATATCCACTAACACTTCACTAAACCGTTTCTATTAAATAGTGTAAAAATAACTTTTATTATTTATTTTTGTTCGTACAATAACCAAAAGGGTTGCATTCTAACTAATAATCAGTGCTACCTTACGTTCATATTTTACAGATGAACTAAGAGAAATAAAGAAAACAAATAATACCCTAATGACACTAAATATATAACACATWAGTTTTCCGCATATAATTCCTTTCTGAATTGGCGGCCTTCGGTCGCGCTTCAAAAAAATAACCCTCAGTCGGACCAACACCTGGGCGTGCTCAGTTCTTTTGCGTTGAACTCCTCTCTAGCAGTAAGGAAGTGAGAAAGTTTTGGGAGATAGGCGTTCATTTTTAAACACATCCTATTAATTAAGAGTATATAATATTTGGCTGCTGTCGAATTCAACTCTTCCTTACTGCTGTATTTATTGGACGTATGTATGTTGAATAAGATTTTAAATAAGCAAATACATATACATATATATACCATGTATGCTAGGTTAGGCCTTCACAGGCAGATACTCACGTAAATCAGAACGGATTCTGTACATAATATGCTATGTATACATATGTATATTATTCACCTTATATATATGTTTACATATTTACTAAGGTACAATAAGGAGACGTTTATGTTGAAAATAATATTCTGTGGATTCTTAAAAGAATTTCTAAACTTAAACACTTGCATACGTAGTTAGATACATGCGTATCATTTTCAAACAATTGTCATAGATGTCCATTCTCTTTCAAAAGTTCTATGAATGCATCAGCCAGAGAATGCTACTGCACTGATATACTTACATATGTATACTGAAAATGACGAAGTGATGSTTATATGTATTGTATTGTAACTTTAAAATATAATAATGTCATCATCTCAATGATGTCCGATGCAGTGTCTGTTGTACGTCAGAAAATGGAGGTGTTAAATTACATTTTTGTAATAAAGACATCATAGCTTTTCCAAACGATATAAAATTTAAAAATATTTTTAAATGGCCTGGCATACATATTTTATTATTGACTAACTAACACATGAAGTACGAAATTGAATGACAAATTTTTCCAATCCGTACAGCTATTTTTGGTCATTTTAGTAAATGCTGGTTGGTTGACCTCTTGACTATAACACAAAATATTCGAGGTGATAGGAATTTGTATACACTTGCAAATGTTGCTACAGACTATAATAGTTTTTTCACCTATCGGTTGTAGGTATCACCCAAAAATAATCCATATAGATAAATATAAATAACTTGAAATCCGGCCCTCAAAACACCATTAACCGAAAACCTATAAAGCGCGCGCTTAGCATTAAATTGAAATTGTCTTGCCACTTGTGGCACCTCCCAAAATTTGGTCAATCAGGATCAGATCTACCGATTTCGACTAAATTTAGTAGATATGGTATTCTTCTCAATTTTATATATGACAGTGTGAAAATGGGCGACATCGGATTACAACCAAGTCTACTTCCCGTAGAGCATAATTTTGAATTCCATTTGATTCTTTCACTTATGACCAAAATTTATACAAATTCAACTAGACCTGATCAAGCCCTAGGTACCGAATATGTGGACCTCAGTACCTATAGTATATTTTTGCCCAAAAATATCGGTTAATGTGAGGAAAATACAATTGAAATTAAAAGAAAATCCTTGTGCCAAAAATGGGTTCAATCGGGTTAATACTTTCCTGAGCCCCCATATATCTAATATAAAGATTTTCGATCTTCCGGTGGCTTTATACTACATATATCGGCCAATACTTGAGATATCTCAATGAAAATTACAGAGCGTGTTTTACGCTTAACAGTGTAATTTTGTGTCTAAAATAGATAAACTTCGGCGAATAATATCTAATATTACAGGGAACATTTTTTTAGTATGTGGTATTGGCAAAACTAGATAAAATCGGGTCCGTACTGTCCTAACTTCCATAGCCTACATATGTATAAGATTTTCGTTTTTCTAATAGATCTTTTTCGTTTTTAGATCTCCATATGACAATTAAGGGCGCATTTCCAATTTATTTACGCCGCCAAAAAGTTGTCTGGGGATAGTAAATACTTTGTGAACTATCATTGAAAATAATACCAATAAAATAATGCACATGTACACATACATGATATATAACAACCAAATATATGTATTATAGCCGGGTAGTAATATTAACAAGGCCTGAATTTATTCTGTTGCGCTTGTGGAAATATGTTGGTAATGTTTTGAAAACTTCTAGCAAAATTACACATATTCAATTTGTATTTTGAAAAGCTCATGGATTTTTTCGCAGTCATATCCCACATCTAAATATGTACATAGATATGTGAGCATGCATTTTCAGAGTTATAGTTTTGTAATTCTACTACTCTTTGTTATTTTACGGAATTTTTATGGCAAATGTCTTCAGCACGGAAGGTGTTAATGCTGTCAGACTATAGATGCTTAACCCAAAAAATGCATGTGCACATACAAATATAACTATAATAAAAACAAAGGAACAAAAGAATGAAAGCTACCTCTACCATAAATCTAATATGTAGAAATAAATCCAAGCATCTGTATTTATGTATATACAGTGGCTCACAGCTTATTTGGTGTGCTCTTTTATTTAAAAGAAAATGTGAAATCTTTTCCTTATTTATTTAAAAAAAATCTTAAATGTACATTCAAAGCATAGTTATTTTACATTACGAACACGTACAAAAACAATCAAAATAATTTCTTCTTGAGTATAATATATACAACAAACACAAAATACAAGGTAACTCAGGGTCGCAGCTTATTTCGTGTGAAAAATATTACCGTTATTGGCGTCGGTATACCGTTTAGTAAGAATAGGCAAATTTGATTTGAATGGTACATTAGGTAATTTTTTAGTATTATTTGCAAATTGAAAGTTTGTGGATACGGGAGCGAATTGGTGATTGCGCATTACAAAAATGCAAAAAGCGCAGAAAAAATTGCTGAAATTGTGGATTTAAGTATTTCGACCGTTCAATACATAATCCAACGCTTTGTTCGTGAAAATAGAGTGGTTGACAAAGGTCGTAATGACCCAAATAAAAWTTTCACAGACGCCGATGAAAGGTAAGTGCTCCAGACTTGACAAAAGAGGTTGAGACAGTGCTTGATAAGTCATGCAATCCTGAAACAATAAGAAGGATTCTACGTAAAGCTGATTTCCATGGTAGGACAGCTCGAAACAAACCGTTTGTTAGTGAGCGTCACAAAAAGGCCAGGTTGCGGTTTGCTGAAAGGTATATTAATAAAGACAAAACGTAATGGGAAGACGTTATTTTTGCCGACRACAGCAAATTTAACCCCTTTGGTTCCGATGGAATGTCTTTTATATGGCGTAAGCCCAACACGGAGTTAGAACCGAAGAATCTTCGTGGCACAGTTAAACATGGCAGAGGACACGTAATGGTTTAGGGCTGAATGTCATCAGCTGGTGTCGGCAACTTAGTGTTTATAGACCAAAATATGGATAAAATCATTTATTTAAATTTAGTAAAAAATAATTTGCTGCAAAGTGCTGAAAAATTGGGCATTCGAAACAGGTTTAGGTTCTACCAAGACRATGACCCGAACCACAAGTCACAATTAGTGCAAATGTGGCCTATATGGAACTGTTCCCATTTGGTAGAAACACCGGCATAATCGCCTTAAAACAGAGTTAGTGGCGGAATGGGAGAAAATATCTCCAGAATACACTAAAAAACTCTTTGGTGCCATGCAATCCCGGCTAAGTCGGTTTTAAAGCAAAAAGGTTACCCYACAAAATATTAATTTACAAAAAACTTATTTAATTCGTTAAGCACGCGAAATAAGATGTGACGTTTATTTACCTGGTATTTTGTTTTTGTTGTATATTATACTTAAGAGAAATTTATTTTGAATGTTTTTGTATGTCTTCGTAATGTAAAATAACTATTCTTTGAATGTACATTTAAGATTTTTTTAAATAAATAAGATATGAAAAATATTTATCTTTTTATTTCTAATAAAAAGGCACACGAAATAAGCTGTGAGCCACTGTAGATAGATAGATGAGGAGACATACTGATACCATACATATACACATATTTGAATCCAAAAAACACTTTTCTATGAGTTTGCATAATATCTTAAAGTTGCTTTGTCAAAATATCAAGACATTAGATTTTTTGAGTTCAAAACTTTAAAGCAAAGTCGGTGCTCTCCCCGAACATTTTGAAATCTTTATACACTTGCAACGTGTTGCTACAGAGTATAATAGTTCTGTTCACCTAACGGTTCTACGTATTACCTAAAACTAACAGAGATATATAGGGTTATATATGTATGTATATAAATGATCAGGATGTCCGTCCGGTCAAGCCGTTACTTGAATAAAAATTAGGAAATCTTAATGAAACACTGCTGTTAACTCGGCTATAACCGCGTAATTTCGCATATTTTCGGTAAAAAGCCTAAGAGTGAGGATAATAATCATGACTTTCTTTTCTAATCAAATTTTAACTTATTTATTTATATTCATAATAATAAACAAATATGTACCATTCTGACATTATTCCATTAGTGTAAATCGAAATTTCCAGATACAGCATTGTCTCCGTAAACTTCACAAATTTCATTTGTGGCTTGAATGGCATTCTACCCTTTTTATACAAAAATTTCAAAATATAGCGAATTTTTTCATTATTTTCACTCAAAATCTCACCTTTCCAACACTCTATTATGGTATGAAACAATTTGATTGATAGAACTGGAGATATACGACTGCAACGACATCTATTCACAAAGTACGAAAATAATTTTTCGACTATCCAATATCATAAAAACGAGAGTACATTCATTTTATGAATACTATATATTCGTAATTTGCACACTTCAACCAATGTTGCTAAGATATTTTGTTGCAGAGCAACAAAAAATATTTTTTCTTTCTAACTGAAAGACACGAAGCATTTT